ACTGAGTTTTGTGTGTGTGCCTGTGTGTGTCTCTGGGTGCGTGTGTTCTTTCTTTATCAGTTTGTTCATTTTGTTTGTCTTTTTTATTTGCCTGTTTGTTTTCTAAAGAGAGGAAAAGAAGGGACAGAGTTGGATGGGTGGATAGGTTGGCATGATTGGTGAGGAGATGAGGAAACACTGTATGAAAAAACTCTTTTCAATAAAAATAGAAAAAACTGAGATGTGGCTATCATACCTAAGCCATTTGCACTACCATAGACTTTCCCTGATCTAGTCCTTTCTGCTAGTCAAATACTACAGTACCATTGAAGTACTCAGTACAGGTATATTTATGATTTTTTTTAAAAAATACTATTTACTAGTAAAGGGAAAATACATGTTATCTCACTAGCAGGAAACAGATTGCTTAATTTTACATCCATAGTCATTTAGCTTGTGAGAAAAGAATTTTAGCACATTGGAATTGCTAAAAAATTGGAATTGAAAGAAAAACCATTACTGGATAGAAACATAAAGTCTCTTCTAAAACAGGGAAAGATAGCCTGATAGAGTCTTTCTTTATAATAAAAGACTGAAAATTAAAATAACAAGGATATATTCACTTAAAATTTTGGCTAAATATTAATAAGAAAGGGCAGTATATATTAGGAACTGGATAATTAGGAAGGGTAAAACAGAAACATACTTCAGGGACCCAAAATAATAGAACATATCAAAACCTGTGGAAGGGTTCATCCTTATTCTAGGAATCACTGATAAAGAATTGTTGATAGAAAATTTAATATAAAGACATTCATAGGGACTATAATACCAGAAATTACCTAACAGAGTGAATTAAGTGTGGTCATTTATACAAGAGTAGTATTAATCTTGTCTTAAATAGCTAGGAACTTGATAGCACAGGGAGTATTAGCTGCAAAATACAGGTTATGAGACATTACACAGATTGTGCCATGTTTATAAATAAAGGACTTTCATAGAAAAGAGGTTGCAAAGATAGATTCAAAACGCTAAATTTCTGGCCGAATTTTCACCTTCTCCCATGTCAATGGCTCTCAATCTGTGGGTGGTGATCTCTTTGGGGTATGCAGATCAGATATCCTGCATAATTTACAGATATTTACATTATGATTCATAACAGTAGCAAAATTGCAGTTATGAAGTAACAATGAAATCATTTTATAGTTGGGGATCACCACAAGATGAGGAACTGTATTAAAGGGTTGCATCATTAGGAAGGCTGAGAAACATTGTCCTATGTATTTATGTTCTCAATACGGTGTAAGTCTAAGTTATTTAAAATTATAGAAATCCTTTTAAAATTATTTATTCTTATGAAAACTGAACCCTACAGTATGATCCAGTAATCCAGTACCAGACTGAAAACACTTTCAAACACAAACTAAATCTCAAGAAAATAGTGAAGCAAAAATTTCAGCAACAATACATGAAATGGCCATTGGTTGAAATACAATGTAGACAAAATTGTAGTAAAGTGTCATAAAGGCTTAAATTCTGTAGTATAACCTGAGGAAAATCAGGATCATTGTTGTTATGACAACATTCCTTCTCTTATTTTTACTCTTTTTAGGACTTTAATTATGTCTATCTCTAGATCTAAAACTTGGTATAGTTTTCTCAGATAATATAGTGAGCTAATCTATAATATTGCATAAACAATGATTTCTACAGAAATCACTATTTCCATCTCTATTTAAGTACTGTATTTTATAATCAAAGAATACAAAATTAAAGTCCAAACAAACGGGCAAGGAATTATAAAAAAAAAAAAATTACCAAAGAAAGTATTTGAATACATAAGAGATCCAAACCTGTAAGTTCCTTTTGGACTGACCATTAAAAATAGTCCAGGAGAAATGAGGAAACAGGCAGTTATGTATTAGAAGGGGAGAACAGAATTTAAGGATTTTACTTCATCAGTGTCTTCTACCAATCATAGAGGAATCTGAAGCCAACGTAGGTGCCCATGCATCCTTCTTGACCCTATCTCAATGCTCAGTTTCAGTAAGGAGTCTTGCACTTTATACTACGTTCAGAGAGTACCAGATGCTGACAGACATAGCCAAAGACTTCTTCCATCAAAATGGACCTGGCCAAGAGGAGCTGGCCTGTCAATCTCTCTTCCCTAAAGACCACTGTAATCCTACCACTAGTGGATGCCGATACACAAACCCATCTCTTGCCTCAACCATGGCCTGTTGCAATGCATTTCAGTTTTTTCCTCTAGAATACCATATAGAAAGCATTTTTTACTGAACTGTGTCAAACCCAGGTAAGGTTCTCAGGGAATATGATCATACTCGCTCTGAAAGAATTTGGAAAAATAATGAATGAGTCAATGCTTTCACTTAAAGTCTTTCCTTGCCTGAGGATCCTTAATCAATAAGTGAAGTGTAGCAGCCTAGCAGCACATCAAACTCTCCCCCAAATTTGCAGGTGTGTGAATGGCAGCCTCAAGGTGCATCTTCTCTCCAACTCAGATGAATAAATGTTCTTGGAAGATCTAAGAGGAAAGCAAGAGATTTCAGGGCTCTCTTATGGTGGGTGGGGCCTGGTTTTTGGCATCAGATACAATAAAAAGGGTTAGATAAAGAGGTGCGAGAAGTGTTGGAAAACACTGTTATGAGTTTCCACACAACAAATAAAGAGAAATTAGTCGTATGTCAAAAACAATGTCATTTCTAAGTTTACTTACAGGTGCCCCAATGTGTCTAAAGCACCAATATTTGCTTTCCTGTTCCCCTTTCTATTTTTTTTTTATCTTAACTTTGGTTTCTGTCCCTAAACCGTGTAGGTGATGAGTGTGAGACATAATCAAGACATAAATTCCAGTGTTGGTCCATCAGCAGCACCTTCTCAGTCCTTTTCACAGGCTCTGATCATGGGAAAAGCCTATGTAGACAGCATATGGCCATAGTCATATCATAGCAGATTTGAGGAGGGATCAGGATCTTATTCCACACAGGTCTAAGCCCAATAAACAACAATTATACAAACAAATCTTTTGCCATACATGCAGCGGTATTCTAACTGTACCACATATGTATTACCATAATCCTTACAATAGCCTGTGAAGTATGGAGGTCTATTACCTCCATGTTATTTATTTTAAAATTTATATATATATATATATATATATATATATATATATGTGTGTGTGTGTGTGTGTGTGTGTGTGTGTGTGTGTATTTGTGTGTATGTATCTGTGTGTGCATGACATGTATAGTCACATATGCTATAGTATATGGACATGGAGGTCAGAGGACAACTTATGGTGCTTGATTCTTTACTTCTATCATGTGAACCCCAGGGACCGAACTCAGGACTTCAGGTTTGGAGGCAGGCACCTTTAACCCACTGAGCCATCTTTTAAAATTATTTTTAATTGAAAATAGATTTTTCATACAATATATTCTAATTGCAATATTACAGTTTCCCTTCCCAATGTCCTCGTAGATCCTTCCCACTTCCCCACCCACCCAAGTCCACACACTTTCTTTCTCACCCTCATCAGAATACCAACATGCATCTAAAATAGTAATAGTAATAATAATAATAATAATAATAATAATAATAATGAATGCAAAGTAGAGTCAGACCAATTAAAAATCTTATCTAAGTATGTAATTTCTGAAATGTTCTGAAGGGCCCAGAGCCTACACATAAGAAAGAACACAGCTATGCTTTGCTGAGCCAGGATTCTAACAAAGATGTCTCCCCCAGAACTGCTACAGCCTTTGCTGCCCTCTCCCACAACACCAGCTGCATGGTGTGAGTCTTTCAGATCCCTTTGAGTTTCAGTAGAAAGGCTCCTCACAGGCTAACACCACACTTACAGTTCTCTGCATATCTGCATCATGGAATCCAGAAAGCATAACAAGAAATAAAACTGCATGTGTGGGCTCCCTAGGCATGCTTGGTTTCAGAGCAGTCTATATGCAAAACTGGCAAATTATGTTACTAAGTTCATATTTTTGTCCCTAACTCCTATATGTGGTAGACAGATATCTGACAATTTTGAGTGATACGGGGGCTCCTATTACATAGCCTAGAAGGAATGCTGAGTGATAGACTGACCACTCAACAGAATATATTCTTATACAATACATTTATATTCACACTTGTGTGTGTCTGAAGTGGGAGTTTTTTTTTTTTTAAAGATGTTATGGCATCTCATATTCACTCTCTGCCAGGATAAACTGCTGCTTGCCTGGGTATGCTAAGGATGGTTGGTATCCTCAGCAATGGTCCCTGCCATGAATCACTTTGGGGGAACCTGAGCAGAGGTAATGAATCCTGTTTGCTGCCTGAAGCCTTCCTGTGTCAACATGTACCATAAACACTAGCAAAATGAGAGACAAGAAGTTTGCAAGACTTTAGAGGTGATAGTAATGGAAATGCTCTATCCTAGCACTCTTTTTGTTAAATACAGTTTTTATTTTACAATAATTATAGGCTTATCAGAAATTAGAAAAATAGTACAAAATCCCATATATCCTCTATTCAGTTTCCTCTAGTTGTAGGGTCTCCTACAACTGTGCAACTTCAAAACCAATTAGGACAACGGTATAATATTCACTGCTGCTAGATTTTTACACAAATTAGTGTTTGTATATACAGATATATAAAATATTAGCCTGAGAATAGTTTTATGTACTAAACATTGGAAACAATATACAAAATGATATCATCAGCCTAAATGAACTCTTATTCTATAATGTCATAGTAATATATATCCTATAGACTATGCAGTCCTGAAACCTAGAAATCATTCATTTGTTACTCCCTCTCCATAGTTCTGACATTTCTACAATGCTATACAAATGCAACTGTACAGCAAGTAACCTTTTGAGATTACCCTTTTTTTTCATTTATATAATATACCCCAAGGCTCATTCAAGTTGTATATCTTTAGTAGTCTGTTCCTTTTTACTACAGAGTAGTATTCCATGGTAGGAATGGTTTAACTACTTACCCATGGCAGAACAGTTGGGTTGTTTCTCATTTGAGGCTATCTCAAATAAAGCTGCTATGAAATGTTCTGTCAAAGTTTTTGTGCCCAGGCAGTGCAATTGCTGGGTCACATGTTAAGTGTACAGTTAACTTTATAAAACACTTCCAAATTCTTCTACAGCATAGCTGTATTTGACACCCTTGTCGTTGGTGTATGAGAAATATACTTTCCATCCATAACAATATTTGGTATTTTTGCTATTGTCTCTTTAGCAAACCTCTTAAGTGGATGTCACACCACATTCTAGTTTTAATTTGCATTCCTCAAGGACATATGAAGTTCAACATGTTTTCAGAACATTACCTGCCATCTATATATCCTCTTTGGTGAAAAGATCTATTTATTTCCTACTAGGGTGGTTTATTTTTGAGTTTTAATCATATTTCATTTTTCCATATTTATCAGGTATTAGATACTACAAGGGTTGCAAGTAATTTCTTATCTTCTTATTTTCTTTCTTTTTCATTTTTTTCTTTCTTTACAAAATAAAGTTTAAATTTTGGTGAAGTCCAATATGTCTACTTTGTGTTCTTCCAGATTGTCCTTTTGGGCTGAAGTTTAAAAACATGTCTCCTGAAGATTTTTCTCATATGATATTTTTCTAAAAGGTCTCTGTCTTACATTAAATCCATGAAACATTTTTGAGGTACTGTTAGAATTTATTTTGTTGGCCTGTAGAAGTTCAATTTGCCAAAATGACTGCCCTTTATTCCTTGAAACACTTTTGTACTTTGTCAAAATTAGTCAGGCATACAATCGAGGGTTTATTTCTGGGTTTTCTTTTCTGTTCCTTTGATTTATATGTCTAGACTTCCATGAATACCACAGTATCTTCATTACCGCAACTTTATAAGAAGTCTTGAAGTTATATAATGTGAGTCCTCCAACTTTATCTTCTTTGAAATTAATTTAGCTTATAAATTGTATGCCAAGTATTTTCATCCACCCATTTCTGTCCTCCCGATTTATTCTAGGGAAGACAGCTCTTCCATAAGGCCTTCCTTTTCTTGTTCCAACTCCTGCAAACGCTGCTGATTTTGCTCTAGTCTGTTTTCCAACCACTGCAGTAGGGGCCCACTGACTGTGGACATCTGACTGCACAGATGCTTGGTGAAGACCGAGCCATTATGGATCTTGGTTACTGAGTCCAGATGTGTAAGTCTGTGAATCCTCCGATATGCGTCTTGTTCTTCCTGGCACAGGATCCTCGGCAGCTCTATGGCTGATTTGAGGCATACTTTCCCGATGGTGGTATGAGGTACAATATGGATTGGGATTTCAAGTCTCTCATATTCTGAGCTCTTTGGGTCTTGCACAGATTGGAAGCAAGTGTAGAGTACCCGACCAGTCTTTGTGGTTTTGTCTTCTATGAAACAAGCAAAAATCAGTCCTACGAAGCCTTGATCCATCATCTGGTACATGGCTTGTGTACGGATATCCACATGGGAAGGCCAAACGGTTATATGAGGGTGGGAATGATACCAGCCAACAACTCGCAGGGGACGACCTGTTTGTTCGGCTGACCTTTCTGCCTCGATGGAGGCTGCGGACAGCTGCTCTGGAGAAATTTCTACTCGGTCCTTGGTCTTGTCCGAACGCCGCAAGATAATGACAGAGTGGATGTGAACAACCCTGGCGGGGGCATCCACCGTTTGGGCAACCGCGCCCATTTCAGGGCCAGCGTGTGCGAGTCTGGAGACACTCCTCGCGCCTTCATTCAACTCCCCTATACACAGACCCATCACCTCCTCTTTCTCTGTGCTCAGAGCGTGGTTGAGACAAACCAGGAAAGCGTCAGACTCAAGATGAACCGCCTGCACCCTCCGCATCACCCGCGCCGCCATCTTGCTCAGCTCCACTCACGTCGGCCTGCCCGCCCCCTCCTCGAGCCTGACCAATCAGAGGCGCAGAAGCAGCCTTCCCAGCGGGCCTTGCGGGGCTCCACAGGGGTGGAGCCTGGGGCACAGGGGAGGAGGGGCCGGGTCCCACCGGGGCGGAGCCTGGGGGCAGGGGTGGAGCCTGCTTAGCAGACCCTGGGAGATCCTGTGGTTTTTTTCCCCCCACTTTTACTGTGTTTACAAGATTGCCACCAAGTTAAACTGTCTAAAGAAATCTGAGATCTTTTGATAAACATAAAATTCAATGTTATGAACTTATTATATCAGCATAATTTACTTTGCAATCGTTTCTGGTAAAGGAATATAAACGGATAGTGAATTTTAAATTAATGGTTTCTTAGAGTCAAACCATGACATTGAAAAGTGAACATTACTTGTAAACATTATAAGGTGATGAGCTTCATAAAAATTTGAACAAGCTTAGTATCTCGTTCTCTCGGTTATGTTTAGTAATTTTAGCCAGCATAAATTTTATAGGAATTAGTTAAAATAAAAATTCGATTCATTGCTACATTAGTTTTTCTCTCAGATCATTATAATATGGGCTAAAATAACAGAAGTAAAGCAAGTACCTAAGTCTAAACCTAAACATTCAACTATTACAATAATGACAAAAACATCAACAAATCTTTTATAAACCTGAAATCTCCTCTAGAGTAAGGACACAAATCTCTAAAAACATGGGACATTAGAGCTCTTTCTAAAAGCACTTGATAACGAATTCATAAAATTAACATTGCTAATTTTGCAACCATTTCTATTTTAAGAAAATATTTTATTACTGAAACTTCAAAACCACACTTGTTTTTAAATTGCCAGTCCACACTGAAGAACATTTATGCTTTTAATGGGTCTCCCAAGATTTCATCTAGAAAGACAAGATTGTGGTCAAGAAGGGAAAACATAATAGCTTTTCAAATGTATTGGAGAGACTTCAAGTATATTGTGTAGTGTCATAAAAATGGTGACATTCTAGCTTTCCCTTTTTCTCTCCCTCCCTCTCTTCATCATTCCCTCCTCCCTCCCTTCCTTTCTTCTTTCCTTCCTTACATTTGATAGGAAAGATGAACATAGAAACCCAGAGAGAAATAAAAATAATATAGATTGGATGGTTTCTAAATTAGCATTTACCCTGTTGGTGGTGATAGCTGTGATTTTATTTTATCTTTGCTGCTGTTTACTATTTCTTTTGGAGTTGACATCTCCCATTGATCAACTTTATATGCTCTAAAGTACAATATTAATTGAAGCTACTCTTTTCCTTTTGTATGGTAAGATAAAATTAGATGCTTTGGCAGTGTTTGAAGGAACACAGGTTTATTGGTTGAAGCCAACTGGCTCTCAAAATGCTTTCTATAGAAACTACAGATAAATGATTTGGAATTCCCATTCTCCCTTGCTTTGTTGAGGCTCAGCTCTGAACTCTTACTGTTTCCGAGCTGCAGGCACTTGAGAGGAAATCTAAGCTTGGAGCACAAAGCCCTCTTTTATCAAACTGCTCCAACTGTCATTGTTTTGTCACACAGTGGAGCAAAGCTTGAAAATCGATCCACAGCTCCAATTGTGGTAAACTCAATGGTTGGGAAAATGCCCCAGTCTTTCAGCTTGAAATAGTATATTAGTAAACAAAGGAAGGCAATACTTATTAATGTGTAATATTCAGGTATTTGAAAAAGTAGTTTGAGCATATAAGTGCATCTGCTATTGACAAATAAACTTCATAAATCAGGGCATGTTATCATTTGTGTGTTAAGGATGAGAAGATCTGCCAGAGGTTGCACAGCCAGGAAACAGCGGAGCTAAGGTTTGCACTGAACTGGGCTGGTTTCTTAGCCCATGAAATTTTCTTACTAGTGAGGAAATAAATGTTGATTGAATGAATAAATCGACTGCCTACAATATGTCCAATATGACAAAGTGTTCTGAATAATTCTCACCCTGTTTTAAATGAAGATAAATGAAATGGATATCTCTCAGACCTGTTGAGAAAGAAAAGCTCAGAGTTACAGTTATTGGCTAGAGAAATTATTGTGGGAGACTGCACTGAGAAAAACACATCACATGGAAAATTACTAAGAGAGCCACAAAGAAACCATGCGTTTAGTACTGTTTGTTTGTATTCTAAATATCTCAGCTATGAAGTATGAAAGGTATCAATTTTGCTTCCGCCTTCCCAAATTCTACCTTCTTCTATTATGCCAGTGGATTTCTGTAAACCTAAAACATAAACAAACAGTATCCATAATCTATAAAATAAACCATCCCTTCCCTACAATTTAAAACAAACACACTATTTTGTTGTTATTTCTGGATAGCTGTGGTCCTAGGGAGATAACCTAATCATATCTCATGGGGAAATCTTAGTTTATGTGTCAGTCATGATAACCTGGTTCATTTTACCAGTGGTTGCTTGGAGACCATGGGATACACCTTGGGAATGTTGTGATATAAGAAGAAGTGTTATGGGTTCCATCTGAGAACTTTTTTCTCACTTTAATAATGAAGATATCTACAGAAATCAACACCTCTCTGCTGGTTGGTATGGTGGTTGTTCTGGGAGTTGGAACTGTTGTGAACACGAGAAGCTATTGAAGAAAACTGATACTGTATGAATGACAGGATCCAAAGCTGGTAGGGATGTTGAGTTGTGTTAACCACCTCTCATCTTGGGACTTGCAAAAGAAGGCTTTCCTTAAGGCTCAGCCAAGTTTATGTACCACTGCCTGTTGCTTGTAGCCAGGAGGCAGTACGTATAAACACGCTACAAGCTGAGCCCCACAGTAACAATACAAACATCTATTTTTTTTACAGCCTTATTTAATGCTATGTTTTGGTAATTTGATTTCTTCCTGATGCACTTTACTTGTGTGTACCTCTGACCCTTAGCTTCAGATTCTCAACAGGTTTAAGAGATAGTCACCCCATTTATTATTTAGAAACTGTTCCATACATTGAGTTTATAAATTAGTGTAATGTCCTGCAACCCACCCACATTCTAGACAGATAAGAAATGAGTTAATATGAACTATAAGATAATTGGTTTGTGATTAGTTTCCTTTAATTTAAATGCTGAAAAGAGTTTAGAGAAAGATTTACTTTGGTACATAATATTTAACTTAAAGGGTCTACCTTTTAACATGCTCATCATCAATGAATATGTGTAACATAGCAATGCACAGCTATACTTTATCTACTGGGGACAATTTAGAAAGGAATCAGGGAGTTAAATTGGGAAAAACATTGTAACATCAGTTATCTACCTGTGATTACTAGGGGTATAGCCCTCAAGCACTCTGTAGGCAGCTCTTTTGTTTTTTTTCTTTCTCCTTCTTATGCTTCTTTTGCTTTTGTTTCTTAATAAGAAGCAATTTGTAGTCTATCTCTGCAATGAGTCAAGCTTTCATAAATTTGAAATGCATCCACAAAGATTCTCATGGCTTTTTCCTCTTGAAAATCTGAGATTGCATCACTTTAAGAAAGTGGTTTTAAAATAATTGTCAGGTCAAGACACTTTATAGACATATTTGAAATTCTCAAAGACAAATAAGAGATATACTTAAAAAAACAAATTTTGGAACGAATGCCCATACTCATAGGATACTCATAGGATACTCATACTCAGTAGGATTAACATAGCAGAAATGGCCATCCTACCAAAAGCAATCTATATATTCAATGTAATTCCCATTGAGATTCCAACACAATTTTTCAAAAATCTTGAAAGGACAATTTTCAGCTTCATACAGAAACACAAAACACTCAAGATAGCTAAAACAATCTTGAATAATAAAAGGACTGCTGGAGCTATCACCATTCCCAACCTCAAATTGTACTACAGAGATATAGCAATAAAAAAAGCATGGTATTGGCATAAAAACAGATACACTGATCAATGGAATCAAATTGGAGACCCAGACATAAATCCACAGACCTATAGACACCTGATTTTTGATAAAGAAATTAGAAATAAACACTGAAAAAAACTTCATCAACACATATTGCTGGCCAAACGAGACAGCTGCATGTAAAAGAATCTAAATAGATCCATACTTATCACTCTACACAAAAGTCTACTGCAAATGAATCAAAGGCCTCAAGATAAAGCCAGATGCACTTAACTTGATAGAAGAGAAACCCAAATAACCTTGAATTCATTGGTACAGGAAAAGACTTTCTGAACAGAACACCTTCAGCACAAGCACTAACGTGAACAATAAATGTGATCTCATGAAACTGAGAAACCTCTACATATCAAAGAACACCATCATTCAAACAGAGCAGCAGCCTATAGAATGGGAAAAGGTTTTTATGAATTACACATTGGACAGAGGGCTAATATCTAAAATATATAAATAATTAAAAAACCTAGATGTCAAAAAAACAAATAATTCATTTTAAATAATGAGGTCCAGATGCAAACAGAGAATTCTCAATACAGGGAACTCAAAGGGCTGAGAAATACTTAAGTGTTCAACATTCTTAGTCATCAGGGAAATGCAAATCAAAACTACTCTGAGATTTCATCTAACACCCATAGGATGGCGAAGATCAATAAAACTCATGCCAGATCATGTGGTGAGGTAGTGGAGGAAGGAGAGTTAGCACTCATTCATTGCTGGTGGAAATGCAGACTTATACAGCCACTGTGGTTAATCAGTGTGGCAGTTTCTCAGGAAAATGGGAATCCACCCAGCTACACTACTTTTGGGCATATACTCAAAAGATGCTTCATCCTACCACAGAGATGGCCTCATACTGTTCATTGCTGTTCTATTCATAAGAGCTAGAAACTGGAAAGAACCTAGATGTCACACAATGGATGAACAGATAAAGAAAATGTGGTATATTTTCACAATGGAATATTACTCAGCCATTAAAAAATGAAATCATGAAATTCACAGGTAAATGGATAGAACCAGAAAAAAATCATCCTGACTGTGGTAACCTATACCCAGAAAGACAAATGCAGTATATATTTGCTTA